CAGGGAGCCCGATGTGGGACTCGATCCCGGGACTCCAGGATCATGACCTGAGCCGAAGGCAGTCGCCCAACCAACTGAGCCACCCAGGCGCCCCATTAAGAGGATTATTTACCACGACCAAGTGGGATTTATTCCTGGGCTGCAAGAGTGGTTCAACATCTGCATTTCAATCAGTGTAAAACACTACATTAATAAAAGAAAGGACAAGAACTATATGCTCCTCTCAATAGATGCAGAAAAAGCATTTGACAAAGTACAGCATCCTTTCTGGATTAAAACTCTTCACAGTGTAGGGACAGAGGGAACATACCTCAGTATCATAAAAGCTATCTACAAAAAGCCCGCAGTGAATATCATTCTCAATGGGGAAAAACTGAGATAAACAGTTTTTTTCCCTGAGGTCAGGAACATGGCAGGGATGTCCACCATCACCACTGTTGTTCAATATAGTACTAGAAGTCCTAGCTTCAGTAATCAGACAACAAAAAGAAGTAAAAGGCATCCAAATCAGCAAAGAAGTCAAACTCTCACTCTTCGCAGATGACATGATATTCTATGTGGAGAACCCAAAAGACCCGACCCCAAAATTACTAAAACTCATACAGAAATTCAGCTAAGTGTCAGGATATAAAATCAATGCACAGAAATCAGTTGCATTTCTTTAACAAACAGAATAAAGAGAAATTAAGGAATTGATCCCATTTACAATTGCACCAAAAACCATAAGATATCTAGGAATAAACCTAACCAAAGAGGCAAAGGATCTGTACTCTAAAGACTAGAGAACACGCATGAAAGAAATTGAGGAAGACACAAAGAAATGGAAAAACTTTCCATGCTCATGGATTGGAAGAACAAATATTATTAAAATGTCTATGCTACCTAGAGCAATCTACACATTCAATGCAATTCCTATCAAAATCATCAACTTTTTTCACAGAACTAGAACAAATAATCCTAAAATTTGTATGGAACCACAAAAGAGGAATGTTGAAAAAGAAAACCAAAGCTAATGGCATCGCAATTCCTGACTTCTAGCTCTATTACAAAGTTGTAATCATCAAGACAGTTTGGTACTGGCACAAAAACAGACACATAGATCAATGGAACAGAATAGAGAGCCC